AAAGCTTCCTTCTTTGCCATCTAAAGGATTTGCTTATCGGGTAGCTTTGACAGTGGGAGCCTTCACAGTGTGCAAGTAGCAGAGCTGGAGATGCTTGGAAGTAGCCCTGTGTGCAATCAGAGCTGGGGGTTGTGCAGAGAAATTTCTCTTAAGAATTAAATGACTAGGTGCCCATGTATAAGCTAACATTCACTAAAACAGGTTTTATGCGACAGGATTTTAATTGATCCCAGGTGTACATTGAGTTATCCTGTTCCACTTTATTTTGCCAGAGGTTGCTTTACACAGACAGTGTAAATTCCACATAACTAAAATAAGTGTGTGATAACTATCTCATCTCATTATATTCTATGAACAAACTTATCGATTTGAGTTCTCACGTGCTAGATTTGTGAGAAACTTAACTTCAATTAGGGTTATGCCAAACTTTCAGAGGTTCGTGGGTGGCCAATACTTTGCAGAAGAGAAGTGGAAGTCTGTCGTGTGCTCAGTTCACCCTGGTTATGGTCGAATCACACGGAGAAGAACCGTGTGGCTCCTTCAGGCTGGCAGCAGTCTATGGCTTCCTGGCCACACCTACACATAGGTCCCCTGGGTAAGTGTCCCATCTGCTTTAATTCTCCACTGGGCTTTGCTCCCCAGGGACTTGTTCTCTCTATGTGAGTCCAGACAGAAAGTAGGGCTGAGATCGTTAATTTTATGTGTCCATTTGACTGGGCCATGGGATGCCCAGACATTTGGTCAAATATTATTTTGAGTGTGTAGGTGAGGGCATCGCTGGATGAGATTACCACTGATTTGGTAGACTGAGCAAAGCAGATTGCCCTCCCTAATGTCGTGGGCCTCATCCAATCCCTTGAAGGGTGGAAGGGAACAAAAAGGTGAGCCCTCCAGTGAGTAAGGGGTAAATAACGTCACCTGCCTGGCTACCTTTGAGCTGGATGTCATCTTTTCCCCACTTTTGGACTCAAACCCCAGCTCTTCCTGGGTCTCAAAACTTCTTGCTGGCTTTCAGACTGGAACTATACTATTGGCTGTCCTGGTTCTCGTGCCTTTCAGACCCAGGCTGTGTAGCATACTGTAAGAAACCAATTGTGGCTGTAACAATTGTCATATAGTCCATATAGTCCACTCAGTCATCTCACGGAACCTACACAATGTGTGACTTAGCAGTATAATGCAACCCAGCCCAGGGATGTGCAACTCAGGCCCAGGAACTTAAGGGAGATGGGTTGCCTCACAATAGATGCAACTTCATGAACCCTAAAACAAAGCTTGCTTTTACAAGAATAGCTTAAACTCCCCCTTCATGAAGAAACCATCTGGTAAATGACCCAGACAAAATACAGGTAAAAGAAGGGGAAGGATTCCCCAAACTCTGAGAATGATCTCCAGAGGAAGACCCTTCCCGTCAGTTGGTCATCTGACTCCCTGACTGCATCTGGCCCAGGATGCCAGCCTTCTCTGGCTATGGGCTTGTAAGAGTACTGCCAGAATAAATTGCTTGAGCATCAGACAACATCTAAGACTTATCTTTGACATGAATCAGACTGAAGAGGAGAAGTTGCCTCTGGGAAATGTGGCTACCTAGGACCACCTGAAACCCCTGAAATGACAAACTGGAATACACCACACCACTGGGTCTCTGGCTTGCCAACTGCAGATCTTGGGACTTGTCAGCCTCCATAATTGCATGAACAAATTCCATATAATAAATCTGTCTGTCCATCCTGCTTTTTCTGGATAACCCTCACAAATATAAGGGCATAGCTCTTTTCTCCACAGATCATATCTCTCCTCATTCTGCTTCTCCCTTCTCTTGCCAAGCCTTCCATGCCTAGGCCTGTCAGACTTCTGGCCAAGATAACTGAGTATGTGCCAATATTCCTTGTATTAGTATCTTGGAACTGTATAACAAAGCACCACAAACTGGGTGTCTTAAGATAACAGACATTTATTCTCTCACAGTTGTGGAGGCTAGGGGTCTGGAATCAGGTGTTGGCAGGGCCAAGCTCTCTCTGAAAGCTCCAGGAGAAAATCATTCCTTGCCTTTTGGTGGCTTCATATGCATACTGCAAATTGCTAAGTGAAAGAAGCCAGTCTGGAAAGGCAATATACTTCATGATTCTGATTATATGACATTCTGGACATGAAAAAATGATAAAGACAACAAATGTCAATGGTTTCCAGGGGTTTGGGAGGAAAAAAGGGAAGAATTGAGTAGGTAAAGCATGGCAGATGTTTTTTAGGGTGGTGAATCTATTCTTGTGCTACTGTAATGACAGATATCTGATATCATGCAGTTTTCAAATAAAAATAATAGAAATTCATAGTACAGAGTAAACCTTAATCTTTGAAGATTTAAAAAAAATTAAGAGCACAGGGTAACAGGGTATCTCAGAAAGAAATGCAGACTATGACAAGAGAGCCTTATTACAAGTACATGAAACAATCTCACTAAAGTACATAGGGGGAAAGATGCTGACCTAAGTAACTTGTGGAGTCTAAGACCAAGGGCAAAAGGAGCTGCATTATAAGCACTGTACTCTAGTTAATAAAGCTGTTTCCCATAGGGGTGTGACTTAATAATTCTGACACTGCTAAGCATGTATATTGGAAATGAAAAGCCAAGTATATACTACCTCAACCAGGTGATTATGGTAAATATCATCAATGAAAAATCCAATTGTTCATTTTTAGTATATAGAAAAATTAATACAAAGGAATTTTCTATATTGACCTCATATTCTGTCTGTGAAATATATTTGTTGTAATGCTAATTTACTAGTTTTAGTAGCTTTGGGGTAGAATTCTTAAAATTTTCTAGACAATCATGTTTATATTAACAGTTTTACTTTCTTAGGGGAATAACATTTTAGTCCTTCACTGTTCAGTACAATTTTAGCTGTAAGTTTTTGTGGCTTTCCTTTATCAGTTGATAAAATTACCTTGCATTCCATGTTTTTATCATGGATGGCTATTGAATTTTGATAAATGCCTTTTTGCATTTACTGAGATGATCATATGGCTCTTCTTTTTTTAGTGTATTAATATGATACATTACATTTATTATTTTTGAGTATTATATAAAAATTATATTCTTTTTATGTCATTCAATTTGATTTGCTAAAATTTTATTGAGGATTTGCTAAAATTTTCTGAATTTTTCATCTATGTTCATGAGGGATATTGGTCTTGAGATTTTTTTCTTATGTCTTTTTCTAACTTGGGATCAAGGTAATTCTGGCATTAACCCTTTGCACTTGGATGTCAAGTGTGACTTGACACGGTTAGCAAAAATTGTAGAGATTAAAATTACTCTTTGGGGGGAAATGGGCATTTATTGAAACCTTAAAATCTGTACCCCCATAGTATGCCGAAATAAAAAAAAAATTACTCTTTGAATGTATCAATAATTTGAAATATTAAAAAATCCAAATAAGTTTGTCTGAAAAGAAACTCCAGTTTTTTATTCTACTGCCATGCTTTGTAAAATCTGGGGTATTTAAAAAATTAAATCCCAAGTAGAATAAAGGAATCGAGAAAAAGCAAGCGAGTGCAAAGGGTTAGAAATGAGTTGGGAAGTTTTTATTCCTCTTTTATGGTCTGAAAGAATTTTTATAGAATTGGCATTATTTCCTTGTTAAATGTTTGGTATAATTCACCACTGAAATTATACGTACCTGGAAGTTTTTACAAATTTATTTACTAGATAAAGGGCTAATGATCTATGTCTAAGTTCACTTTGGTAGCTTGAATCTTTTGAAGAACTTTTCTATTGCATCTATATTGTTGAACTTATTATCAAAGTTTCCTATAATTTTCCCTTTTTGTCATTTTATATCAATGAGTTTTTACTGATGTCCCCTCTTTCATTTGTGATGAGTGACTTGTATCTCCTTTTTATCTTAGTGTAACTACACATTTTTAAGTTATTAATATTTCAAAGAAGCATGAGCATGCAGATATGCATTATTTGTTTTATTGTTTATATGTGTCAAATGGCCAGTTTATGTTACTATCACAGTGCATTATACCCCATTTTACAAAATGGCCCAGTTGCTTAATGGTAGTTAATATAATCTTAAAAGTATTCCTAGAAATTTTAATCCAACCAACAAGACAAAAAATTATAGTTAAGTAAAGTGTCTGTGAAATATAGAGGATGAATCTGAATGAAAAATAAGTGAATCTGTAAGTATCATAATTTTCTATGAATATTAAAAATGAAGTACAAATAGTATAATAGTATACAATGATTTTTTTCTGAAAATTGGTTTTTTAAATTTTATTTTATTATTTCAGCATATTATGGGAGTACAAATTTTAAGGTTTCAAATAATGCCCTTGGCCCCTCTCCCCCCACAAGTCTGAGCTTCAAACGTGACCATCCCCCAGATGGTGCACGTCTCACTCATTATGTATGTATATACCTGCTCCCCCTACCCCCTTCCACCTGTCCAATACCCAATTAATGTAGTTCCTATGGAGATAGCTTAAAATGATACAAGTGGATCTACCATTTGATCCAGAAATCCCATTACTGGGCATCTACCCAAAAGATCAAATAAAAATTGGTTTTAATGGATTGAAGATTAATTTCTCTAAGTCTTTAATTCATTGGTATAATTTTTTCCAGTAGTGGCATAAAATTGCCCAAATTTCTTGTCATTTTTAAGCAGAGCACAATGACCATGTTAATAAACCAATTGAGTTTTTCTATAAATGCAAATTTATACCATCCAGTTATAAATGACAAATTTTGCTACTAAAGGAACAGATGAAATGAAATGTATTCAAAGTTGCAACAAGTAAAAAGAGGTATAATTCAAATTATCACAAAGAAAATATAAAAACAATCACAAAGCTAATGATGAATGGTGTGTATAGCAAGAAAACAAAGTATGTTAGTTACCTATTGCAATGTAATAAATTACCACAAAACCTAGTAGCTTAAAACAACTTATATTTATTATCTCATAATTTCTACATGTCAGGAATTTGGGAGCAGCTTATCTGGGTGGCTCTGGCTCAGGCTCTCTAAAGAAATTGTAGTCAAAATGTCTGCCAGTGCTGCAGTCATCTGAAGGTTTGACTGGAGCTGGAGGATCTGCTTCCAAGATTGCACACTCACACAGATGCTGGCAGGAATTCTCACTCCCTTTATGCTTATTGGAAGAACTCAGTTCTTTGACACAGGGACCTCTCCATGGGGCTACTTGAGTGTTCTTACAAAATGGCAGCTTGATTCCACCAGAGCAAGTGATTGGAGACAGAGAAAGAGGGGGAAAAAAAGAGAGAGAATATCATAATGCTGTTTATGAGCTAGTCTCAGAATCCTCACACCATTTCTTCCCCATCCTATCTGTTACAAGTGAGCTACTAAAATCCAGTTCATACTCAAGGGAAAGAGAATTCAGATTGACCCTTGGAAGGAAGGCGTGTCAAAAAACTTATGGACATTTTTTAAAACCACCATACAAAGAAAGCCACTGGTAAAATTCATCTATAATGTAACATTTGGATAACATTATATAGTGTCATACTACATTAAAGAGCAATCGATATAGTACATACTGTTAGCTGACATTTTGCTTTAAAGTTTGACCAGACCACATTTGGCACGCAAGTACTCAAATATATATATAAGAAATAAATGTTGAATGACTTTGTGGCACAGAATATTTATTTGCTTGTTTGTTTAGTGAATGGTCATTTTATGAACCATAATGTAGATTGTCTTGGGATAAATAGTGGATGTTATACCAGTAATGTACATAGAAATGGAGGGCATCACTAGACGAAGCAAAAATTTTGCTCCTAAATGCCTACTCACAGGGTGCTTTATTCATGGAATACAGGTGGAGGCCAACCATAGTACTTACAATACTCTTTTAGTTTTGAGGGAAATAGTGACATTTGAGTACAACCAAACTGCCATCTTTTCAGCTTTTTTTTTTTTTTTTTTGGCAAAGAAAATGGCAGCCATGTAAAATGCTGTTTTTCCATGCACAAGAACACTTGCTGTCAAGGAAAGTGGTACTTGCATGAATTTTTATAAAATGATGAATGAGATTAAAATATTTTTATGAAGTTGGTATTTCTGGCCACAATTGTTTCTCTGAGTGGCTTACTTAAATTGTGTAATCCAGAATGAAATCACAGTGGTTAAGACTTAAGGATGTGGAATAAGATTGCCAGGTTCAAAACTTAGCTGGACCACTCACAAGCTTTGTGACTTTAGATAGACCAGCTAATCTCTCTATGACTCAATTTTATTATCAGTAAAATGCCTTATAAATAGTGTCTACCTCAAAGAAGTGTCTGAAGAATTTCATGGGATGAAACATATAAAATGCTTATGTAATGCCTTATTTTAACAATTACCATTATATTCTGAATATACACGAATTTCAACCTGGTGTATTAGATCACTGAGAAAGTCATAATTGTGGTGAAATAGCTCAGTCACCACAATTGTGACTCCTTCTTCCCAACACTGAATTATTTATCTTAATAATCTAAAGAAAAAAATCTATAACATTATTAAATCCATATACACAAGCTGCCATAGATTATAAAAAATACTTAGCTGAGCCTAATGCAACCAAACAATGGATTAGGAGTCCTTCACCTCTCTCTGCCAATATAAATCACTCAACTTTCCATATGTATAGTAGCTGTACTCATCAACTTACAGTATAAAGGAGTGTTGTATGTGGTCTTTAGTGAGGAATCTATCATGAATCTCTGGCCTGTGTTCAAGTCTAATGTTCATAACTATGAAAGCCACCTATGAACTAGAGTTTTCTATTTTATGAAGTAATGGAGAATAATTAAAAAGATGACCAGATGAGAAAACTGACCTATGGATTGAGCCATTTGTCATTTAGCTAGATGTGGGTATTTTGGTTAAATATTTTAACATTTCCTTCTCTCAGGTATGAAATTATTATTTGTAATTTTGAAAATATTATAATTTTAAATTAAATTGTGATACATCTCTTTTTAATTTTTCTAAAATTAGTATTTGCATCTTCGGGCTGTTGGGAGACAATTTCCCATGGGCATCTTGCAAGCAGAGATACTGACAGTTCTTGTTCCAGATTATCTTTTTAAGGATCCTTGCTTAACAAACAGCTTTGGTAGAGAGAATGCCCCTCTCCTCCAAAGCAGAGGACAAAGTCATTTGCTGTTCAGTGTAATATAGATACTGTCTTCCTCTGGGATAAAGGACAGGCAAGTTTGTTTGTGGCTCATTATAAAAGACTCGAGTTCTCTAAGCTCATGATTGTGAGCTATGATGCAAACACCCTACATGCATAGTGTCCACCTGGACCGTGCCTACAGGGCTTTCAGGGCAAGGGACACTCATGCAATCATGAAACTCAAGTTTCTTGCTATGCCATGAGTAATGAAGTTCTTTGTTTCTGAAACAAAATAAGTGCTTGTTCTGTTCAGGAAACACCTAATGGGCATTGGTCTACAAAAGCTGGGAGTTTGAGTAACCCTGCTGCAACAGGAGAGACATTAGAGATATAATGTACACACAGAACCACAGGACAAAACAGACAATGCAAGTGATAGAGATTTGCAGGGAGAGAATGCTTCGGGGAGAGGTTACCAATGGCTCTACAGAGCAGGTGAGCCCTGAATATGACCTTGAAGGAGGAGTGGAACTTTTAGATATGTAAGTGAAAGGACATGTTTTCAGGCAAGGAAAACAATGTATACAATAGTGTGAGAGTAGAGAGGTTTAGGACATGTTCAAGGTACTGTGACTAGAATAGTTTGAATAAACAAAGGGTTAAGGGATAGAGACCTTGATTAGAGTCACCCAGTGAGGCCCCTCAAATACTCAGCACCAAAGCTCACTACATTTAGAGAGGATATGAAAAAAGTAAGAAAGTGGGAGAAAGAAAGTAATAGTAAAGAGCATTAAGAAAGAGAAGGCTTATTTCTTTGCCTTATTTCTATCCATCAATTTGATATTCTATATCACCAAGATACACGTTTCTACCCTTCTGAAAAATAATCCATGAAGGATATCTTTCTCTGTCGTCAGAGAGAGAGAGAGAGAGAGAGAGAGAGAGAGAGAGAGAGAGAGAGAGAGAGAAACTTTCTTTGTGTAATGAAAGTGGAGCAAGGAAATCATTAGTTAAATTGTCATGGTGTTGTTTTTGCTATGAAATGGCAGATTTACAGGTCTTCACTCGCTGTATTTATGAGTGTGTTGGGAAGACAACCAAAGTGGATGTGTGGCTGGATATATCTCTCCATGACTTTCAGTAAAACTCAAAAGTCATTTAAGCAGTTTGAGTTAACAGAATGAAATGCCATCCAAGAAATGTAAACAAAGGCTTTATTCAATCACCTCCTCTATTAAAAAGTCATGCCTATTATTTAATTTTATGGATACAGAAAATACTTATTCCTATATGAAAATACCTCAAGCTCGTGGTTCTCTTCTCCTCCTTTGTCTTTTATTGCTCAGCTACCTGGCTTTATTTCTCTGTAAAGAAAAAGACTTGAACTTAATTGCTTTGTTGCTCCAAGAAAAATCATTCTTTAATTTTTGGTGGGTTAACAACCATTAAAGTAGTGGTTAACAGCCTTCTCTACTCCCATCCTCCACAACACAGAATTTGGACAATGCTTATACTTTCCCTCCTTCCCATGCTTTCAAAAGAAAAAAAAATGTCCTTGAGAGACATGTAGCTTAGACAAAGATCACTACTCCCCAAGTAGTGTCCCATGGGGGTACAGGGATGTGGGGTGTTAGAGGACACACATGGTACATGTATGTAGCAGCTGTGGACGAAAGAGGAGCTAGAAGGTAAAGATATTGAGCCAGGACAGCATGGATGGGAAAGACAGTTCTTTGGATTAGTTTCCTGAGGCTATCCTGAAAACATCAGCGTACTGGATAAATAGCAGAGGGCAGGGGACTTTAATAACAGTTGTTCTGACTTCATGTCGTGAGGGCTTACTCTCCTGACCCATTTCCTTCCCCTCTCTCCTGGCAGGCCCTGTAAGTTATAATGATGTATGTTCTTTTCAGATAAGCCCATGCAGCAGAATGAATAAGGGGCCATCATCAGACAACATATTTCAACAAATTTCTTCAATATATAAAGCAAACTGAAAAATGCTTGTGACTAAAAGAAGTGTGGAAAACTTCAAGAGTTTTTCAAAGGAACACAACACAAGAAGAAATTTTACCTCCGGAAGACTGTCCAAGAAACTACAAACCTGGCAGTAGCAGACATGGAAGGGGAGGGGAAAGAAAGAGCAGAACTGAAAACAATGGGCTTGTATAAGGGTCTACATACAAAACATACCCTCTCTTCTCCAGGCAGGGTTAGCCGCCAGCTAAGTATTTACCCCTACACAAAAACAAAAAACCCTGAGAAATCTTCTTTCTGAAGAAGTTGAACAGTCTACAAACCATCCTGTGAAGAATTAGGAAAGGTAGTATGGTTGCTGGAATTCTAAATAAAGACTTCATTTTGGCCTCCAGGAAACCGTCCCACTGCAAAAGATTGATGGCTAGACCCCTGCTCTTCATGCCATAGCAAGTGTCGTCTGTCTCCAAGCCCCTCCCCCTACACATCCATAGAGCTTGCAGTCAGTATTCATTCATAATATAAAATGACAACCAACCTCCTAACCCTGCCTGGAGAAGAGAGGGTATGTTCTGTATTTAGGCCCTTATATAAGCCCATTGTTTTCAGTTCTGCTCTTTCTTTCTCCTCCCCTTCCACATCTCTACTGCCAGGTCTGCCATCACTTGGACAGTCTTACCAGAGGTAAAAAATTTCAGCATGAATGAAAAGACCAAATTAAACAAATATAAAAATTGAGAGGAAACAGAGATAATATAGGAGCCAAAAAAAAAAAAAAAGAACTTCTATTTTCCTGACAGATCTGAGAAAATATTGCATCCATAAACCAAGAACAGGAGGCTATGAAAATATGGAACAACAAGAGAATAAGAAATAGTTCTCAGAATTAAAAAATATAATTACCAAACAAAACAGATTCAAAGGAAAAACTAGAGATAAAGGCAAGATATTCTCCTAGAACAAATTGTAAAGAAAGAAAGGGAATTAAAGAGGAGATTAAGAGACTTTCTAGAAAGAAACAGAACTAAGAAAATGAAGAAAAGAGCATTCACATATAGTAAGATAAAAATTTTCAGACCAGAGACACACAAGTCTTCCAACTGAAATGGCTACCCTAGGAATATATTTTTATATATTCTCATCTCTTTCTCTTTCTCTCCTCAACTAAATACTAAATAGGTGATATAAGTTAAATATTCACTTACCATAGGAAATCCACAAAATGTCTAAAATAGGAAAAAAATGGAATTAAAACCAGTAAGTTTTTCTCTTGGAAAGGAGATTTTGACAGGGCAGTGGTGAGATGGTAGATGAGTATTTCATATTTTGTTTTTATTTTGTTTAAGCTACCTATGCGATTTCATGTCATAAAATCAGGCATATGTACTACTTTGATTTTTTTTTAATGTAATGACAATTTAGGAATCATGGACTATGCACCCACTTAAACAAACACCTGATGAAAATTGTAAATTGGGTGAAGAAAAACTCAAGAACCCAGCTCCTTGTTCTCCAACCCTTTCCCCACTCTGCTGGTGGTGGCTTGTTTTCCTTTTTCCCTTCACCATTCAGGTCCCCAGCTCCTCCTCATCTGCCATCTGATGTCAAGACCCATCTAGTCCTCCCATTTAATCCTTTCCACGACCTCTGAGACCATGGCAGGGGAAAGGAAATAATGTTTATTAAGCATGCATTATTCTTACATATTTGTCATTTAATTTTTCCAACACCCCCATGAGGTCCGCATTACGCCCATTTTAACAAGGCCAGAAGAACAAAGGATCAAGTCAGTATTCAAACTCACGTCTTTCTGTTTCAAAGATCCATGTTCTTTCTAGTATATCATATTGCCTCCTTGTCTGTGCAGCTATTTATTAGATAATTATTTTTTTTTTCTACTGGGGGACAAGAGGGAGTAAGGTCTGTGAGGAAGTCATGTGTTTTGCTATGGTGATTTGTGTAGCAGGAAAGGTGGCCCTTATACCGTTCCCAGTGCTCCATGGGATGAAAGTGCAGTGACATGAGAACTCGGACATCTCCAGCGTGAACAGGCAGCTGAGAGACCTGCTGACCAACAGTTCGCGAGCTGCTGGCACCGCTTGCTTTCAGTGTGTAATCAGTAAGTGCTCACACGCCATATAACTGGAGGAAAGAAACAAAAAAGGAAAAAGCTTTGGCACATCGAAGATACAGTTCATTTATTAAAAACTTCAAAATCGAGACTCAAGACTTCTATCGTCAGCAGAAGACACGATTAAAATGAAGTTTCAAAAACCGGGAATGAAGTTGCAAAATGGGCCTGAAACCTCAATGGTGCCCACTTAGCAAACACAGCATCAACTGCCCTAAATACATCGCTGGGCACCTGCTTTGTATTCAAGGTAGCCAGTCCCTTGACTGTACTATCCTAGCTCGTTTTTCTTACCACGCTTGTTCTTTAGGAAATACTGAAAGTAATTAGCTTGATGACCTGGAAAATCACTCTTAAAATCCCCACAACATTTGATAAAAAGGGCACAAGAAAACCTTTACAACTGAAAAATTCCCAATTTACAACTATTAACCCCATGTGTTCCTCTTCCTACTGACAAGATAAATGAATCTGTACTCATATAAGGAATATTCTTTTTTAAACTATCAAATTCTGCGATTAGGCTTATTTCACAGGAACTCAAGCTTTTAGACAACTTTGGTGAGAATGTGGAAATTCAACAATTAGTAAATCAGTTTGCATTCCTATAAACTTAGGTTACTGATGAGTTTTTAGACTATCTTGTCTAATCTTTCAAGTCAAGGATGCATCTTTTCTACAATTTCTTACCGGTAATCCTTCCTTTTAATACTGCCTTTTAATACAGGAAGCTCATCTTATAATTATTTGTAAAAGAAATCTTAGATTGAAGATGAAGGCTGTGTTTATGCTGGGATGCAGGAATGGCTGAGCATGTTTTGGGGGGACTGGTTGGGCAGACCAGCAGAAATCTAACTTGAGGGTTCTGAGGAATCTCCTGGGAGAGACTCATCCAAAGGGAAGAAAGCCAGGGTATCTAAATTTGGTCCAGGATTAGCGAAATAAACACCTCTTCTGATGTCTCCTCATCTCATGTCTTCTAGAAATAGAAATTCTACTTCCATGCCTGCTAATAAGGCAATGGACCATATAATCTATGTCCACAACTGATTGGGTTGGGGTAGACACCTAACCCCAAATTGGGCCAATTTGATTCTCTCTTTTAGGAAATTTTAAGTAGTACCCAGAGACTCTGGTTAATAGTCAATGAATATTCAGAAAGTCAGTGTCAGCTGGGGCAGCTATTCTCTTTGCCCAGTACATAGAGAAGTAGGGAAAACTGGTCTCAGAGAGAGAAGCATGAAAGCAAACTTCCAAGAGTGAGGTCTGTGGCTCCAGAAACAGAGAGAGTTGCTGCCTTGGATTCCTGACACTGTTGCAATTCCTGGTTGTAATCCTTGGGAGACTTCTGAGTATTCCGCCTACCATAGGCATCAGTAATAGCAGTTCTCTGAAGGTCTTTGACTTTTCAGATCGCAAAGACTGCCCCTCCATGGTGACTTGTTTGATGCTCCTTCATCCCCATGTGCTACAAAAGGCAGCTGTTATTAGACGCATTTGAGAGACACATCCACATCTCAGAAACAGCGTGTGACCTTCCTTAGGGTAAAAAGGTTACTAAGTGATGCAGTTGGGACCACAGCCCCCGGGTGTTTTGTTCCTGTCCCAGTAACCTTTATAAGCATTTCACCAGCTACAAATCCACCTAATGCCTTATCATCTAACACTTCTCATGTTGGTCACAAGAACATCATGAAAGACACTGTCAGATACACTTTCTGTGTCACTCCTCTGCTGTACAGGCCAAGTAACGTATCAGAAAAGGAAATAAAGTTTAACTTTTCAGCATGCCCTTAGGGAACTTATGCTACCTCCTTGTGACAGCTTCTTTTTCTTTTCCTTTTTTTCTTAAGAAGATTAAAACAACTAAAAAGCCAGTCTTAGCTGTTCTTAGTGCTTGATGACCACCCTATTGGCCTGTAGATTCTGCAATGCACCTTTCATGCATTTGGATGAGATTCTCTTTGGAATCCCGTAAACCGGCTAGAAGCTGCAGCTTTCTTATCATGGTCTGTTACAGCCGGCGTGTAACTGTTTCAGGGAGCTTAAAATCACCGAGGTTCAAGTCTATTGTCTGTCTCTAAAAATGCTGTCTTTTCTCGCCTTCAGTTTCTTCTCTGTGTCACTGTTTTTCATTTGCCAACTTGTTGATACCAATTTTAATTCCCTTCTGCCTCTTGAAAAACTCCTTCTTCTTGGCTTCCTTTCTATATTATTTCTTCCAGCCTATCCCAGAAACCTTCAGCCTATTTAATAAGCTCCTCCATGGAGACACGTACTTAAAGTGCTTTTCTTTTCTCATCAAGCAAAAAGGCCAGATTGCATTCACAGCAAGCAACATTGTGTGCTCAAGAGCCCCAGGTAGGATGACACAAACAGCTGCAGCAGCTGCAGCAATAGTACTGTTTTGCATATGGAAGACACTGGGCGAGGTAGGTTGTATCATACCCATTTTGTAGCGTTTTCTACTTTTGGCCACCACCCGAACTTCAAGTCCATCACTAATCTGGTTGAGCTCCACCCTGTCCGAATCTGCATTTTGCATTTCTCTTTTCCATTTTTCTTTCCTCTGCTGCCTGTAAATGTGAGCGCCTCCCAAGGTCCTGCCCTCTTTTCTTTTTTTGTGGTCCTTTCCCAAGAGATTGTCTCTTCTCATGATTTCAAATATGTCCCATGTGCAGATAACTCCCAATTTATATCTCTCAGCCTAACCTTTCTCATTTGCTCTGATCCTCAACATCTGAGTCCCTGAAGCTTTCCGCTATTGACTGGATCTTAACGTCCCTATGATGGACAACCTCACCAACCCAGTACTCCTTCTGAAGTCAATCTCTTACAAATTCATCAGAGCAACCCACTTAACATCTCTGTTTCCCCTCTTTCCTTCCTACCTGCAATAATTTCTCCCCAAATATAGCTATTTCTTCTTCCTTTACCTCCATAGTGCCTGTTTCATTCGATCGTTTCCCCTGCTGTCATCCTAGCTCAAAAACTTATTATATGCTGCATGATTGCAATAATCTAACTCAGTGATTCTCAGCTCTGGTTGCACATTAGAATCACCTGGGGGATCTTTAAAAACATTCTTATATCTGGTTCCAACCTTTAGAGATTTTGATTAAATTGGGCAAGGATAGAGCCCCAGCATTGGCATTTTTTTCTTAAACTCCCCTGGCGATTCTGACACACAGCTTGGCTTGAGAACCACTGAGCAAATCTTCCATTTCTCCTCATCTTTAATCCATTTTACCCTATTAGATTATGACTCTAAAGGATTCCTTCTTCATACACACATCCACTTAAAAGCTTTAATTCATTAGCACCTCTGTGATAATTTTCAAGCTCATTAGCTTCGCTTCCTCCACTCCCCACAACGGACCCTAATCCACCCTGCAAGCATGAATGGGTGATCCACAAATACGTCCACTCCCAAACCTGCCTTGCAAATTCCTGCCTTCATGCATTGTGGGCTCTTTCCCTTCACCCATTTCTGCCCCACTGAGAATATATTCAGTATTTCTATGTAGCCAGCCCACAGGCTTTCTCTATTTAGCCACCTGCTCACATCCTTCCCCAAAATCCAAATCATTTCCAGCTTACTCCAGCTCTGAGCATTTTTCACATAGCCTTGCAGTTGAAGGATCAGGATTTTGAATTACACAGAACTCAGGTTCAAATCCCAGTTGCTCCACTTTCTGCTGTGTAATGTTGGGATCTTGTGGAATCTCTCTGAGCTTCGTTTCTACATGTTATGAGTGTGATAGTAGTGCCCACCTCCTAGCATTGTCTGAGGAATAGATTAATAATACATGAAAATAATAGTGAAATAATACATGGAAAATGTTTGGCACATAAGAAGTGCTAGATAAATGTTAGCTACTTTGTTACTTTTATTATCATTGTTTGTACACATATACCATCATCCCAAATAGATTCTAAGACCTTGAAGTATAAGACAATCTTTCAGATTCTCTTATATTCATAGTGTCTAGTGCTGTTCCTTGAACATAGTGTTCAACATGCCTGCTTAATGAGTAGTAACTTGATAAATAATTCTGAATATATCAAGTGAAATTTAAGTGACTCTGACCTCTAGCCTGGTATATTACCCTTTGGTGGTGGATAAGCTTTATAGAAAATTGTGATTAAAAGCTTATCTTTTTTATAGCACAGCCTTTAAAAAAGAAGTAAAAGCACCTTGAAGCCTTTTAAAGTGTTTACGCTTCCCTTGGTATGGTTCTAATGTCAGTCTTTAAGGGTCCCCAAATCTTTTGAGATTCTGCTAAATATATTTGGTCCATCCTTCCAGAAATGAATGTTTATATATATAATCCTAACAAGAATGGACTAGCACTACAAGATGGAATTAATTTGTTTGAGGCCAATTTCCTTATTTTTATTTATTCCTTTGCCAGGACAGCATGCAAGTTGTGGATTTTGGTTTGAATACATCTATGATTAACACATTAACTGCCATGTGAGTTGTATTTAACTCACACTACTTTTGAGCCTGGGGCCTCTGGGAACATATATAACTCACGTCTCTTCACCTTGTGAGCTACAAGAACAATTTTTCAAGTTGCATATAACTCACACACAGAAAACAACAATAAAACAAATTTTTCGTTAAATTAGAAAAGATTGTTTTCAAAGTTTTTTATTCTATTTTCATAATAAAACACCGGGCCCCATGGAAAAAAAATTTTTTTTCTAGTGTGGCAGTCAATGTGTTAAACTGAGTGCAAACATATTTCCAGTGGGATTACATGAAATACCCAGGGTTTGACTTCAGACATTCCAGAGATCAGCACACCAACTTCTTACTTCGTGAGAGGCCAGTTTAAAATGTTTCTCTTCCTGCTTATTCTTTTAGGATTTTCTCTCCTTTTCTTATGGTCTTTTCTCCTAATCCATATAAAAAGAGCGAATTCTGAAGGGCTAATCCAGAATCAATTTGTCTTTTGAGAAAATAAACATTATAACAATTGACAAAAATTCTCTTCAAGTGTCA